TATCCTCCACAAGGTTTTTTTTCACTATAATGATGCTTTATGATTTGTTAGTCTCTACTTGTGACACTGATGCTGTTAGTATGAATGTGCTTACAGAACCAGAACCTGGCGTTGTCGTTGTGGATGAAGATGGAAAACCAGAAGACCGGGTAGAGTTAGCTATGAACTGCCTTCCTCCTTATAATTCTGCCAGCTGCTGGAATGAGGACTTGGCTTCACCGTTTAGGTATTGGAAGATACGCGATTATGCACATGCTTATCGGTCACAGTTTGTCACTCCATCTATGGTAAGTGGCTAAAGGTTCAGTTTCGTTCATTGTTTTTTTCTTTAACAGATTTCAGAGGATCTCACATTTATCTTGCAGGTTGCTGAGAAGATCATCTCAGTTATAGAAGAATTCAACAAAAAGGATCCCCCAATGCCATTATTGATTTCTTTTGATGCTGAAGAAGTCAGGAAACAGGCTGCAGCTTCTACAAAGAGATTTGAGGAAGGTATTTCTAAATTACATTTGATAATATATACTGGCTTCCAGAGACACCGTTGTAGACTTTTGGATTTACAGATAAGCTGTGGTAAAACCTAAACTGCAATTAATCATCTTATGTGCTTTGTGGGTTGCTTGACTGTGTAGGAAGTTCAATATCCATCCTGGATGGCATTTTCATCGCAATCAAGGATGATATAGATTTGTATCCGCATCCATCCAAGGGTACATAATGGCACCTCTTTTCCTGATTTCTCGACATATTTTGTAAAGATTCTTAAAATTCTAGGTAAAACTTGATCCTTGATGACAGGTGGTACAACATGGATGCATGAGGTCCGTCCTGTGGAAGAGGACGCGGTTAGTGTTTCTAGACTGCGTAGCTGTGGGGTGATATTTGTAGGAAAGGCAAATATGCATGAGTTTGGCATGGGTACTACTGGGAACAATCCAAATTATGGGTCAGTTAATTAAACTTCCTAATTGATGTTATTCATTATTGCATGATTAACTAAATTCTTTTAGTTTTTAGTTCTTAATTACAATCTTATGGTGCAGAACAACAAGAAACCCTCATGCAGTGGATAGGTACACAGGCGGATCTTCCTCAGGCCCAGCAGCAATTGTAGCCTCTGGTCTATGCTCAGCTGCCTTGGGAACTGATGGTGGAGGTTGTGCAGATATTTTTGCTGGTCTAGCTTGTAATTGGTTTTAACAATATACTAATTGTGTACGTTTGATTTAATGAAAGAAATGCAGGTTCAATCCGCATTCCCTCTTCTCTCTGTGGTGTAGTGGGTTTGAAAACAACATATGGTCGGACAAACATCAAAGGGTAAGCTTTTTATGATTGTTCCATTGTTGCACATTATTACCAGCTTTGGTGTTCCTGTGTTTCTTAACAGTACTCCTTTGAGGCTTGATTAAATAAAAAAGGGCAAAAAATGAATGGAATGGATGGAATGGATGACTTGTTATGAAAAGTTTAGTTTTCAGACACTAGAGATTTCCTTAGCCCTAACTCTTTCTTGGTGATATAATGATGTAGTTCCTTATATGATTATGGGACCGTGGAAGTTATCGGACCAATTGCATCTTCTGTGGAGGATGTCATGCTTGTGTAAGTATTTCAATCTTGTTAATGGATTTTACTGGCTAGAGAGTTATCTGTAAGCAGTCAGACCATACATATATCTGTATTGTGGTTGAGCAAGCTGCTGTCTCTTTTTTTTCTGCTGAAACTTCACTTAGGTAACACAAACTGTGTGCTTCTCATTGACCGCATGGCTTCAAAATATTTGCTAAATACATGTATTCTATGTAGAAAGAGATATCATCCATTGCTGAACATGTTCATTACTAGTCTGCTACCCTTACTCATTAGAAGATATTCCAGCTGATAAAAATGAAAAAGAGGGGGAGAGAAAATACACTGTTTGAATTCTTGGTGTAATTTGTGGTTGCATTCATTACACTCGCTAAAGCCAAGACATGGACTTAGTTGATGTTTGAATTTTTGATGAAATGAACAGTTGATTTCAATGTTTTCTTTGTTAAAAAAAATCACCTTACAATCTGTTGATTTGTCAGGTATGCAGCAATTTTGGGCTCCAATCCTGCAAATAGGATCAGTTTGAATCCGGTAATTTCATAAAAATCATCATCTGTCTAAAGAATAAAAAATCTACTCTAGTCACTCTACCAGTTCCCCCTTGATCTTTTTGAAGTTTGACTCCTTTCACCACAAATAACACATCTTAATTAGTTTCTGTGGTTTCCTGCTTCATGAGCTGACAAGCTTTTTATTTCTGAAAATTGTAGAGATCTTGAGTTTATAGTCATCATTGTCTGTGTCTAAATCCACACATTGGTGTTCATTGTCATTATAATTCACTCTGCTATTCTGCTTGTTATTAAGATTCATGAGACTTGTTTGCCTATTCTTTCACGCATTGTTGTTCATCTTCACTCCATGCATCTTGTGGGAAACCTTAATGTTCCAAGCATATAGTTCTGACACAGATGGTACGTCCTTCGCACTGCATTCACATATTTTAGACTTTTAACTGAAGCTAATGATTCCTTATAACTTCTAACTACTTGTTAGGATGCAGTTTTCTTGCTATCTACTTTCGTTATAATGTTGTGCATGTCCTTTGTAGTCACCCCCTTGTTTGCCAAATTTGTCATCATGTGACAATGCAGATGCTTTAGGATCATTGCGACTGGGAAAATATACTGCGGTGATTCCATTTCTCTTTTAATTTTAAGTAGATTGATTCAATGTTTTAACAATCAAAAGAGTAGTTTTGAGTAAAATTATTATTATCCTGCAGTGGTTTAATGATGTACAGTCAACTGATGTCTCTGATACATGTGAGGATATGCTTAACCTTTTATCCAAAACACATGGGTGTGAAGTAAGTCTACACAATGCACTCCGTTTTAAATCCATTCTTATCATATAATCTGATTGGAATAATTGTTTTTATATATACATAAACGATCTCCTCATATACTGAGAATGAAATTTTCTTGGAATATGGTTCAAGATGGTAGAGATTGTCATACCTGAGATGCAAGAGATGCGCACTGCTCATCTTCTTTCAATTGGATCTGAGTTTATACATTCATTGATTCCTGATATTGAGGATGGGTAAGTCTCTTGCCTCTCCTGAAGAGTACATTAATAGATTGACAACAGAACCAAAAATCATTTGAGAATCCATCAAATGCATGATTAGAACCATTCAAGAAGATCATTGTCATTGCAGAATTTACACAGGTAAGAAATTTTGGATTAATAATGATATTCTGTTCTTTCTTATTCTTTTGCAGGAAAGGTGTGAGGTTGAGCTACGATTCCCGTACTAATGTTGCACTTTTTCGATCATTCATTGCATCAGACTACATTGCTGCCCAGTGTCTTAGGTGGGGATAACAAGACCAATCTCTAGATTTTCATTTGAGATACAAAGTTGATACATGTGCTTTTGATACTTTTGAAGTTTCTAATTTTATAGCTCGAGTTTCTGAAGGTCTACATCTATTAGAGGTATCACATGACTAATTATATCTAACTAAAATGTGAATAATCCTTAATGTCTGTCATGCTCCATGAAGAGGAAGTAGCTCTACTTCATAGCATGTCTTTAAGCCATCAAGATAGGAAACCCAGCCCATTTCAATTGTGAATTTGCTTTGGTATAGGGTGCTCCTATATTGCACTTCGCCTTTTCACACGTGGTAGCATTCTGATGGAGAATTCCTCTTGCTTCTCCTCTCCCCATTTCTTGCAGTCCCACTTCACATTCAAGTCTACATGTATATAGTTGTGGAACTCTTATTCTTAATTGGTGTTCTCCACCTTCTAAAGTAAACCAAGCAACCAGTTATTGGTAGGATGTACTTAAAGCTGTATCAGACACATTTCTATATCAGCTGCATGGTCTTGTAATCTAGTTTCTTGTACTGTCAAGGAGTTGTCAATTTTGACAAAAAGTTTTAAATAGTAGATAGTAACATTTTCTAAAAACTCGTCTAACTCTAGAGCAATGTTACATATCAAAATTCCTGAACAAATAGATATTGATTCTCATTGTTGTCTTTCCTCATTCCCATTTCTACGTTCTTCATATTTAGGGTCTATTATTGCTATTACTTGATGAGATAGTTTTATCTTTTGTCTGAATAAATGACACATGATATCTGGGTTTAGTAGTTCCGGCAAATCATGTAGCTTCCTATGTTCATTGAAAAAAAATATATATATAATGGTTATGTTAGGTGTTGTTATTTTCTAAATTATATGTTTGAGCATTTTAGTCAAATATAATGGTTATGTTAGGTGTTGTTAGTTTCTAAATTATATGTTTGAGCATTTTAGTTGGATGCATTTCTTACTTTTTAATCTGATTCCATCAGGCGAAGACTAATGTACCATCATATGGAGATTTTCAAAAAGGTTGATGTCATAGTGACACCAACAACTGGGTATGCAAGTTTTACTATTATCAAGAGTATATTGTTCTTTCACAGTAAAGTCATTGTTTGAAACTCAATCAATGAACCTAACTGGATGGATTTTACTTCTATCCATTAAACATTTGAGTTTCAATTTTCTTTCTTTGTTTTATTATTAGCATTATTATTGTTTTGTATAATATTACTGGTGCCATAAGAGATCTCTGTGATTTATGTAAGCATGGACTTGCATATTGATTTCTTGATTCACTCTAATACTTTACACGATGGGAAAGAATGTCATTTTCGTTCAAAATTGAGTCATTACCTCAAGTTCTATGCACTTATTGGAAGAAGATGCTCCTGCTACACTTGTTGATTATGCACCATTTGTACGGAACCTCCGCATTTTGTGTTTAATTTGAAATGAGGTCTTCTTTTTCTTTGGGATTAACAGCATGACAGCACCCAAAATACCTTCTGGCGCTCTTAGCTATGGAGAGACAAATTTACAGGTTACAGGTTTGTCCATTAATGCTCATCTTTTGTAACAAAAACTAGAGCACCCCGCAACAGGAGGGCATTCAACTAGTTTTCTTGTACAATCGTATTCTATATTAATGAATGAACTCTTGCATTCAGGTTACCTTATGCGCTTTATTATAGCTGCAAATCTTCTTGGTTTTCCGGCCATTTCTATACCTGTGAGTTGTTCTTTTCCCTGGAAAAATATCGTGAATCATTTTTATTTTTATTTCCATCTTAAATATTCATTCCATATCCCATTTACTCCATTATTTCTCGTAATTCATGGTATCTCTTTGCGTCACTAAAATCCAATTGCAATTGGTAAATATCTGAAACAAGGACGATGGCCTGTTATAGTCATGCAGTCGGGAGCAAACAAAAACATCAATATCTATTTTTATTTTATTTTTAATGTAGTTCATCCTGGGTAAGCGCTGCATAATGACACATCCAATATGGTCAATTTTCAGGTTGGTTATGATAAACATGGGCTTCCGATTGGGTTGCAACTAATTAGCAGGCCATGGGGTGAAGCAACACTGTTGCGTTTAGCTTCTGCAGTAGAGGTATGATTTCTTGAGGCTTGAGAAGAAATAGCCATTTACTTCATGATAGATGTTTAGTCGTTCAATATTATATTTTTATGTTTTCAGGAGCTATATGCTAAACCTAAGAAGCGGCCCGCGTCATTTTATGATGTTTTGAAGACGAAATAAAACATTGCATCTACCTTCTATTCCCTGGTACTTCTTTCTCACGGTTCCTCATGATTGAAAAAGACAGTTTATTACCATACTTTAATAACAACTGATCCGTTTTCATATAAATTCGTCAACAAATTTTCATTGTCTGCAACTCGAGCAATTCAAGTCTATTATTGATTGCGGACAACTCGAGCGAGCAATTCAAGTCTATTATTGATTGCGGGGTAGTTCCAAACCCAAATAAGGGTTTTCTTTTCGACATGAATCCTATGAGTGTAAATTAAGTAGTGTTTATATCCTCAAGCAATAAAGAAATTGGAAGATCAATAGGACTGAATTTACATGCTCTTCCTGTTTGATAACTTTGGTGATATGGCTAAATTAATCCATGAATGTGAAAAATCCTCAATGAGACCAGTGCCATGGCACAAACAAGATTCACATAAATGTTTGTAACTTGAAATAATATCAGTAGTTTTGCGTTGGAAGGGACATGTCAGTGTCCATATGGAGACATTGAACCAAATTGTATTGATTTAACGGCAAAAGCTTTTGGTAGACGCTATGACAGGTTTTGATTTCACTGTACCCTGCCATGCCGGAATGCACCTTAGTCTTGTCTATTTCCTACATGTTTCAAATAACATGACTCCTGACTGGGAATGCATCCCAGTTCCAGGTGACAGGGGTGAACAAATCAATAGCCACAGTTTTCCAAGAAGGCAACGGATGAACAAATCAATAGCCACAGTTTTCCAAGAAGGCCAGACATTTAATTTATAATGCTCAAATCAATTTAAATCTGTTCATCCCCTAAATTGAATTGGGTGCTCAATCTGTTCATCACCTAAATTGAATTGGGTGCTTCCTCCTCCCCAACATCAGTAGGGAAATCCAGCCCGCAAGGAATCTTTCGTCCTCCCCAACATCACTAGGGAAATCCAGCCCGCAAGGAATCTTTCCAGGATAGTTAGTCGTTGGAACATCTGATCCAATCATACTGGAGAAAGAACACAAACTCATATAAGAAGCTGTACAGATAGCACGATTCATTATACTTTATTAAAGATTACCAACTCACCTTCTGTCAACAATGACCATAGATCGAAGCTCGCAATTAGCAAAACTGCAAGTAAAAGAAGTCATTTCTTATTTTAGGAGAGGATTGTACATTAAAAGAAATTTAATTTGACATCAAGTGCAGTCCAACTAAATACTGCAGAAAGTTCCTGCCCTAAACTGCAGTGCTTATCATATCAGAACTTAGACGCGTAAGAAAAGCATGAGAATAAGGCAGTAGGGCATCAATAGGGAAGGTAAAGATTTTCAGTTCAAATTTCATTGGCCAAAATATACATTCCTTTTCAGCTCAAATTCACGCAGAAAGGAAAAAAAGTAACCAATAACTTCTAGTAGATAAGATTGCAGGAAAAAAATGGAAGAATAAATTGTTTTTAATAACCCATGAAAAAAATCAGAAAACTCCAGGAGATTCAGAACAGCCACTGCTCGGTGCAATGGTAGAAGCAAGGCATGCAACCACGTGGTGGCAGCTTCAAATTTTGAGCAGCCACGTAATGCAAGTGCACCTAGCAGGCTAAGAATTTTGTGATTAAAGAATGCCATTTATATGCAAAAGCTAAAATAGCAGGTAGCTTACCGTGCTCCCATTTCTTTCTTCACCGATGGATGACAGTCATTTCCAAATGCACGTAATGTATGAACCAAAAACCCGCTATGGGTAACAATGGCTATCTCCTTCTCTTTCCTTGTCCACAGCCTGACAAGTGAATGGTTGGGGCCCAAGGCACATGTTAGATAAATCTACAACAAATTCTACACATAGGAAAACACAAGTTTTTTTATTAAGGTTTTTTGCGGAGATTTTATTACAAGATCAAAGCAACAATATCTGAAATTAGAAGTTTAAAATTGCACATGACAACAAATTGAATAACAAATAATATCAAGCAAAACCCAGAAAGTCTGATGAAAAGCAACCCTCATTCTAGTCACGTAGATGGTGAAGCGTAGATAAAACATAAGAGCCTGTACAGAAACAATGCCATATCAATGGAGAACAAGTATTCACCAGTTTAAAAACTTCTGTCCCCTTGCAGCCAGTTCTTCAGTTGTCTCTCTCACATCGGCCTTCCACAGTACATCCTCATCAGTTTCTATCTGAACAGAACATCAAAAGGTTATTTAGTTTAAAATTCACGAAAATAATGAGGATTTAGCCTCAAATGAGGATTTAGCCTCAACTAAATAGCCACCAAAGCTAACATGCACAGTAAATGAATTTATAACTGTTACTTTATCACTTTATCTTGTATATCCAAATACTTGCCAGTGAAAAGTCAACTGCAGGAAAAAGAAATTGATACTCGCTGACATTGTGTCTCTTGTCACAAGGATGTACACCCTGCAACCCATAGGACACATAAGAGAACTGTGTAAGGCTTTATTATTCTTTAGTTTCCATCTGCGTGTGAGAAAATATGAAATCATTAAAAACTAAGTTTATAGGAGCTTAAAGAGTTCTTTTAATGCATAAAAGTGAATGAACTTTAGAATCAAGGCCAATGCCCAATTTTTCTCAAATAAAGCATCAATTATTTTCTTCAGATTCTCTGCAGAACTTAGAAATGTGGAAGTCGTTCAATTAGAAGTATATGTTATTTCAAGGGAAAAAAAATAGTACACTAGACGTACAAAATGTTCTCGACAATCTTCTAATGCAATGAATGGCGGCGAATTGAGACTTGAAATTGCTTCTCGACCACTGTTTCCAACATTTGCCACCATTAGTGGAAGTGCATTCATCCAATCCGTGTAGCCCTCCCCACCAAAAACTCCGACAGCTGTTTGCAATGTCCTGCATGCCACAGTGATCAAAATTTTACTAAAAGAACATCTCGGAAAAGAAGAATAAGGGAATGAGGAAGCGTCTAATCTAATGATCAAAAGCAAAGAATAGAAAAATAAAGATAGTAAATTGAGAATATATTCTCCCTTCTGAAGCCTATGGCTTCTAGTTGCATGCATAAATGAAGATTTATGGCCCCCGTTATTAGTTAGAAGCTTTATTAATCTAGAACTTGACATAAGATCAATTTTGACCAGAAAAGAGTTGCATTTATCAACAAAAGAAATCCCATCTATCCATACTGAAATGAGTGAAAACACATCCATAAAGTCACTACCTGAGCAAAGGGGATGTAACAACTAATTCAACCCTCTTGGAGAGCCCAGATGCATGGACATGCTTCCGCAAATAATTAACCTATAACAAAAGCAAAAACTTCTTTTATGAGACATCTTCCTTTACAACACAAAATTCAGTTCAGGAGTATTTTAAGATCATGAATCGAATGAATTTCCTCTCATATGAAATGTGATTTTTTGGTGTGCTACCTGCTGCCAGCCTAGTTGAGTGAGGGGAGCATCTAAATATTCAGGATTCAAGTATGCTTTGTAGTTCTTTTCTCCCTCGACATTATGCAATCCTTGTGCATGCCTCACCTGGATGCAAGGTTTTGTAAGACCACAATGCCTTGATTTCAGCGCAAAAGCCAGAAAAGAAGGCAATCTTGTACATCCTTCATTCATTCAGACCAAATACACAGCAGATTCATATCCAAAGTTGACACAGTAACATCATTTATGAAACAAGAATCTCGATACCAACCACGTGAATTGTTTTGCAGCGGTGCAACGGATACAAACTTGGATCTGGACCACTATCCATAATCTGCAACTTAACCAAGTAAAAACAGTCGAAGGGCTCACCGGTTCAGCTTCGGGAGGACAAAAAAATGATGCGAACTAGTTAAAAGAGCACAAACAACTAAATCAGTAGTCGGTTTCATCAATGAACTACAAAAGGCACAAAACATAGGAGTAAGTAAAGTTGGAAGTTTTTCTGAGCAGATTCAAGATTGAAACACGAATCAAGTGTAAATTCATCAACATTACCTCATAAAGAAGGAAAAAAACATCGCGCAATCATGCTAAATAAAGAAATTACCTAAGAAGCTAACAGAAAGAACGGCCGCGTTTTAGGGATATGGGAATTTAATGACCGAAAAAGGAAAGAAACAGACAGAGACAAGCAAGTCATACATGTAAAATGTATATGCAGTAAGGTTTTAGGGATAGTGGTGTGCTCTTGGTTCTTACCAGAGAGGGGAGGAGGCGTTTGAAAGTCTCAGTCGATCCGGTTCAACCGCTGTTTTATTATTTTCCGAAATTCTTTTTGTTTGAAATTAATTTTTTTAATGTTTTTTGAAATTCTTTCTGTTTTACCATTTTAGAATGCTAAAAAATAAATGAAACGCAATCCCTAACACAATCTTAACAGTAACCAGAAAAGTTAGGGAGACACTCCTTTCTTTCTTTCTTTTTTAATTTTTCCCATTAATAATAGCACGACTGTCTGCCTGATATAAAATCTCTGTGCTCATCTCCGTGTCGTGACTCACATGAATACAGAGTCAATTTCTCTTTCTTCAGACTGCTAGCTGCAGCAGGCGAATTGGAGTGGTGTCGTCGTCGTCTTCTTCTTCTTCTTCTTCATAATTCTATCTGTTTTGACTGGGATGCTCCCTTTCTGACCTTGCAGGTCGTGCAAGCTGTCACCGAATGACGTGGCAGAAAGATCGTGGGAGGGAGTTTTTTTCTTTTCTAGTCATCTTTTATGTATTTTACAGGGACAAAGGATGGCAAGTGTTTATTGAATAATATTATTATTAGAAAGTCA